ACATGGCTCCAACCCTCTCTGACAGCTGTCAGATTAAAGAGGACAGGTTCTCTCTGACCCGGTCCAAAAGAACAGCAGCTTCAGGACAAAGCTGAGGAGGAGGAACCTGCTGCTGCCATCAAGGTTTTATTGTTTTTAAGCTTTTATTGTTGTCTTCTTAAACATTATTTTTCATTATATTTGTTCCAACATGTTTTTGGTTCTGGTTCTACTCCAGAGGAACCAAACACTATTCTAGATGTAAAGATATACATAAGAAATGAGAAATAAAGCCATCTTATCTCGTCTTACCGTCTGAATCTTTCCCAAATCAAACTGAAACATCTTCATTACTCAACATCATTTCACTAAGTCTACTAAATTTTTTCATCACAACAAAACATTTTACAGTTTGAACAACAGGAAAATAAAGTTCAATATTTGATGATGATGATGATGATGATGATGTTTGAATAAACAGAGAAAACTCACCTCAGTTTCTTCACTTTGCAGATTGAACTCTCCAGTATCTCACACAGACGCTTCATTCCAGAGTCTCCAAAAGTTTCCTCTCCTCTGATCTCATCTATTATCACTTCAGTCAGATGAAGGTTGAACTTCAGAGCTGAGGCCACAATTTCACAGTCAGCCTTATTGAGAGAACAGCCACCAAGTCTGTGATTAGAGGAGAAATAAAGACAGTTGTAATGAAATCAGACAATATGGATGATAAACACAGACTAAAACATGATGATCAAACAGTGATGTCATCATCTGATGAACATCTGCTCTCCACATCAAGGCCCAAACCTCTAGGAGGAGACAGAGCGTTTGGGTCTGGAATGGGCAGAAGGTGACCCTCTAAGACACGCCCCCTTCTCATTTGGATAATGAGGCAGAAATAAATAGAGTTGAAGAAATAAAGAGGGTAAAAAATACAAATGAGGAATAAAAGAGACAAAAATATTATATCATGCACATAAATACCTAAAAACTAAGTAATAAATAAAAACAGTTGAAGACTAAGGGACAAAAAATAAATAAGGTAATTATTACAAAGGCGAATAAATAAAGAAGCTTATTTAAAGAGATATATACATTTATGTCTCACTGTATAATTTAAATTCGACCTGCATTTATTAGTTTATTGTATTTTGGGGGGTAGCTTATTTAAGCTTATTTATTTATTGAGGATTTATTTAGTTGTGCATTTATTTTTAAATATGGCAGAGTTGGTCCTCCATACAGACTCACCCCTGAAAAATGAAAATGGGGGCGAGCATGTACAGTGGGTCCTGTTTGGAAATGGACACTTCACTCACGCTTTCCGTATTTCACGAATTGAGTGAAAAACATGTGACTACTATAGCCACTAGGAGGCAGTCTGAGTCCAGGTTGAGGGTTCGGTCCCAGCTGTGGCTGAGTTTATTATTGTTGCCTTAAATGTTTTTCTATTTTTTTTTATCACTTGATGGCCTATGATATCAAAAATTGTACAATAACTTATTTACCTTATTTATATATTTTACGGATACTAGCCTATTATGCTGTTTGACACGTAATATTTATTTTATGGCATCTTTCTTTTATTTAGATCAGTTGATGTGCGCTCATCCTTTCCAAGGAATTACATCAGACCATATAGACCATATGCTAGCCTTTCTATCATGTCATCCCATTCCAGTGTTCTGGGTAATAAAATCTGTTTATATAGTCTGAAAATATATCACACCTGCAAGCTTACATTAAGTTTCCACACGCAGAAATCCTGCAGCATTTAAACAATTCGAGCGTGAAGTTAGAACTAATTTTCCTTCCGCCATATGCAAATGATTTGACTGTTACCGTCCCACATATAGTTCAGACTAATAAGCGCATGGCGATTACTACGCCACGACGGTAGTGATGAGGCTGGCATGTTAACAAAGATGGCTGCCCCCGGTAAGTTGCGGCGTGGATCGGATGATAAAGATAAAAATCCTGCTTGCTGCATGCACATAGTAAATAATTGTATCGAAAATATCTGTGTTATAACTAGGGCTAGATGGGACACCTCAGAAAAATCGCAAGAGTGGATATCGCTGAAAGGGAGAGAGTGCAATGCAGTGTTGTCAATCGCACACACCTTGGTAGGGAGTACAATGAACTGGAAACACTTCTCTACTATCGTCCCTCCTGTTTCAAACGGCTTACAGACAAACTGCAAATGTTCTACGCCAGAAAAAGACAGCAACAAACACAACAATCAGCTGGCAACGGTGAGTGCATTCACATTATTGTTAAGATCTTGTGTAGCCTCCATAAAGCTGAATATAGGTCATCAATCATACATTTTATGTGCCATCATCATGATCATGAACCATATTACATACCTAGTGCATGTGTATTTTTCAATTGGCCTAAAAAGGCGGCAGGCAAGACATGTATATGTTGTGGAATTCTTTGAATCATTGTCAAAATCTTAGCCTGCCACACAAAGATTGTCCTTCTGATCATGCTTATACTGATAATTAATGACACAAATATATAAAGTGAAAAAGTGTGGGGTAGCAAATAAGACTACACTACAGTGAATGCTGTTGTTTGGCCTTTGAATTTGTAATGAAAAAGTGCATGGATCTTAATGGCAAACAGTTTGTTTTGTTCTATAGTACAGCTTGAGTTAGTGAATGATTTAACCGTTGAGAATGATGGCTGAAAGCTATTCATGATTACATCTTCAATTAAATCTTTACTGGGTATTTTTGTTTTATTTCCAGATAGTGCTGGTCCTTCTCCAAAGAGATTGCATTCAAAAGATGACATACATGGCAATTCTACCTGAAATCTGTTTGATTTGCAAGAGGAAGGACCATTTCATTACACGCCAGGGGAAAAGAGTGAAGGACAAGTTAGCTAAAGCAAAAACAGCAAATTGTGGTAGGTTTATATCTTATATTGTACTTGGTGTGCCAGTCATTGTCGTGCTCTGCAGGCAG